CAGGAGATTGCCCGGCTGAGGGAGGAAGCCAACAAGACAGCTGATGGTGTCCTGGCCCTGGAGAAGGCAGTGGCCACCCTGCGGCACGAGGCCAAGGAGGTGGATGATGCATTCCAGAGGAAACTCTCGCAGGCCGAGGCGGACGCTGCTGTGATAGAGAAGGTGGGTCCCCATCTCCCTTGCCTTTCTCCTTCCCTGTTGACTTGTGGGCTTGGTTTAACCTTACAGCTCCTGCCTTTCCCCCTTCAGACAGCTCAGGAAGCTCAGAGGGTCCACGACAAGGCTGGCCAGGCAGGGGCAGCTGTGCAGAAGATGCTGAGTGCCCTGGAAGAGCTGCTGCGTCTCATGAGTAGGTTTTGTGATGCCACTGTGGGGTGTGGGTGGAGACAGGTCCCCACTGGGGTCTAGGCAGGGCTTCTGGGAGTTTAGTGGGAAGCTGAATTACGTGATGCCTGTGAACAGGCTGGGCAGCAGGGTGGAGATGAAGTATCTAGGAAGATCTAGTCCTCAGCCTCCATGCATGCTTTCCCATGCCTTGTTTTCCTTCTGTGCAAAAGACCAGCCTGGTGCTGTGGATGAGGACGGCCTGAGGCAGCTTGAGGCGAATTTCAGCAAAGCCAAAAGCAGAAGCAGGCAGCTGAAGGCGGAGATGTCGGAGCTGGAGCAGACGGCTGCCCTGCAGAAGGCCCGGGTGCACATGCTGGAGAGCAGCATCGATGGCATCCTGGCTGATATTAAGAACCTGGAGGATATCCAGAGGAGTCTTCCTCCAGGCTGCTACAACACAAAAGCCATTGAATTGCCATGAGCCAGCTCCAGAAAGGCTGCAGCACCTGCCAGGAGGGCCTCCCCAAATCTGGCAGAACTGGTTGTGTCAAACTGATCCTTACCCTCAAGATCAGTGGGGCAGATGACGTTCACAATGTTCTGCTGGCCCTGGAAAGTCCCTAATTTTTCAAAGTGCTCCGTCCCTTGCTCATAGGAGGAAGGAGACTCCTGGTTTGTGAAGGTGCTACTGTCTGAAGAACAGCCCATTCCTACAATAACATATCTCTGAGGGTTGGGTGCCAGCCTTGTGAGTTTGCACAGTTTGGACCCAAAGCTCATAACTGATAGGTTCTCCATCACCTGTGGATACCCTGTCCTGGTCCAGCACACACAGAAGGACCAGGGTCTCTGTCCATACTTTTGACACTGCCACCACCAGCTCCTCCTCCTGTTCTCCATGGGGTTTTCCTCACCTTCAGCAGTGACAGGGAGCAAGCAGCATGAGAGGCTGCTGGGGCAGATGAGTTCTGAGTTGGGGCACTGGTGATGCTTCATGAGGTGTCTGCTCCCAGGCTGGCAGCCCTCCCCTTGCTGGGAGTGGTGCTGGCATGCTGTGGCTCTTGTACCTGAGAACCCCATCCCATTCTGCTGCAGTGCCTGTAACCCGATTTCATTACCTTAAAACTGGTGAAGATGTCTTGAATGCATCTCCACCTCTGGTTTGGTGCTGCCTGTCCTCCTCCCTCCCTCATGCTATGTTCCTCAGAGGCCACCATCACCACCAAGGTAGCTCTCCACAGGGTTTCCCACTGTTCATCCTAACAGAGCTTGGATGAGACACAGTGCTCCCTTCACCCTTCACTGCAGCTCTCATGTGGGTCCAGCTGCATTCTGGGACACGGCACACTGCTCCCACCTTCCTTCAGATGCCATGCAGGGGAAGAAAGTTTCAGGGGAAATAAGTGCCACCAGGTGCTGGAAGCTGAAGCTCTGTTGCAGCCCTTGCCCTGTGTGCTGGTGAAATAGGAGGTCCCAGGTGGAGAAGGACACTGGGGACTCACTCCCCCCTCCTTATCTCTCAAGTCTCTGATAAAGTGGTATCTGGTAAAGCAGCATCTGTGCTTTTGCTTCATGATATACCAAGTATTATGTCTGCTTTACACTTTTATTTAAGTGAGATGTATTTTAGCCCCTGGCATGTCCCTTCTCCTGTTGTACAGCACAGGGACACCTATTAGGGAACCTGTTTTTCCATGAGTTGGCTTTTTTGAAAGGTAGGTGTAGGCACAGAGTGTGTGGTGATTGTGAGTGGGGCTGGCCCAGCCCCATCCCCAGTGGGTGCAGCTGTGAGCAGCAGGTGAGCAGCACTGACAGCAATGAGCCATGGAGTGCCCAGGGGCACTGAGAAACACCAAAGGGAGCAGAGGGACACAGGGGCAGGGCATCAGCATGAGGGGGTAAAAGGCTGGGCTGGAGAACAAGGAGGGTGGACTTTTAAAGCCTTCTGAAATGATGTTGCTGTGTGTGGGTTGAAGCTTTCTGAGGTTGTATGGTGATACTCTGTGTACTGTGGCTGCCTCAACTGCGACAGGTAAGAGGTCAATAAATGATGAATACTCTTGGCTAGATCTTGCTTATCACTTTCTTTTTTCAGGCTTCCTCATTTGGGGGGGGTTTGGCCATGGGTTATCCCAGCAGTGCAGGTATTTGCTCTCTTGTTCTGACTCAGTCTTGGGGCTGTTTTAAAATCACACCAGTAACATCTCTGTTTTGTTTTGTTTATTACATAATTTAAACATTTTGCTGATAAAGTATTTTTTGTCAATGACTATTCTTTCATATAGCAACAGAAAAAAAGAAAAAAAAGGCTCCAAAACTTTTGACAAAGGTGAAATTGGTGGCATGGCAACTTCAACCCCTTTCCCTCCCCCCTTTATTTATTTTCTTTCCCCAAAAGACATTTGAAGTTCATTTCACTTTCAGCAAATTGACTGTTAAAAAGTGGCGGTTCAAAGACCAAAACCCACGAGCTTCTTCCCATGCCTCTCCTGCACCCTGGAAACCCCCATCCTCACCTCCCCAGTGGTCACATGGATCATCACAGATGATTATTTTCTTCCCATGCCCACCCAAAGACATTTTTCCAAACCAGTCCCAGAGCTGAAGGCCCATTACAAACCCCCATCCCTCCCCCCATCCTGTGAGTTTTACTGAGTGGGTACACAAAGGTAAAGAGCAGCAGGACAGGACAAACTCCTCATCCTCACCACAGCTAAGCTTCACCATCCCAACCCCATGGATCAGGATGCCATGGCATTCCCAGTCCCCTTCTGGGAAGGGAGGGAGGATCAGAGATGACTTTCACACATAACCCCATGGATCAGGAGGCCATGGCATTCCCAGTCCCCTTCTGGGGAGGGAGGATCAGAGATGACTTTCACACATGGCTACTTTCTTTTTTCCCCCTCTCCGTTGTTTAATTTTCTGTCTTTCCTTGGGGAATAACCCGCTATTTTTGCTCCCCCCTCAGAGGTGTCGCTCCCCAGGAGGGTCAGTCCCTCTGTGTGTTCTGGAGGCTGGTTGCCACCAGTGCTGTGTCTCTGGCTTGGGGCTGAGAAACACAGGGGACACCTGGAAAGGAGGGGAGTTTGCTGTCTGGGATAACTCGTGTGCTGGGGTGCAGAGGGAAGGGAGGTGGCAAACAGAGCGTGTGAGAACAGCGGGTGGAGAGCAGCCCAGCGAGTGGCTGGCACACTCTGGGTGTCCCAGGGCACCCGGAGGTGTCACTGCCAGGGGAGCTCACTGGGGTGGGGGTGGTGACCTGGCTGAAGTCACCTGGAGCAGAGTCCCACACACACTCACCACCTTCTCTGCTTTGGCATCTCCATGTCTCCTCATCCTATGGGATACCTACCCTACCACCTGGAGGTACCAGAGCTGCTGGCACTGAGGGACTCAGCTGCCAAATCTAGAACAGTTCCCAAACCCATCTCTCTGTGCAGAGGGAAATCCTTGGCAAGGAAACACCTCTTGTGGCCTTTGGGTGAGTCACATCGCTTCTGCATTTCTGGGAAGGGCTGTGCCTTCCTGGGAAGTTGTCAACTACTGCTCCTGGAATCCTGTCTGCTGCAAGGACCCCGTGGCTGTCTGTTTCCTTGTTTGTCCAAAGCGGCTTGTTTTTTCCAGGGAAGCCAGCAGCACCCAGTAGGTCACCAAATTTAGCACAAAGTCTCACCTTTGGAGCTTGCCTGAGAGCTGCTTGTGACCCTTTATGGACTTCTAAGGGACAAAATAAATGAATTTTCACATCTTTCCTTGAAATACCCTAGAGGACTCTCAGCCACAGGCAGAAGGACTGTACCCAAGGTGATAAAATGTTACAGGGAGTGAAGATGAGGGCTAAACCTTCCCCATGGCTGTGACCCTGCCAGGAGCTGTTCAGGGTCCTTGTGCCCCAGGGATGATCAGCAGGACAAGGCTCTGCTCCAGCCACCCTCCTCTCCACAAGACTTCAATAACTGCTCCACATTACCTGTCCTGCTTTTACTGTGAGCACCTCCACTAGGATCCATCCCTGGCATCAGGGTGTACCAGAGGCAGGAGCAGGAGCCTGGCCTGTCCCAAGGGATGTGCAAAGTAGCCGTGGCTGGTTTGGGAGGGGGAGGTTATCATGCATTTAATGAACTCTTCAAGGAGAGGCAGAGAGTAGGGGTGGTGGGAGAAGATGGATGGAGCAGAAATGGAGATCTGGAGGGTAGAGGATGGGGATGGACATGGCCAGATTTGGGGCAAATTCTCACCACAGGCTTTGGCTCACCACCTGCTTCTTTCTACCCAATTCCATGGCTCCATAAAAGGCAGATCCCTTTTTAGGTGCTGTGGGATGCCCCCTCTGACACTGGGTAAGAGTAGAACACCACCCCAACTTCACTTTCTTAGGGAGTGGCTTCGGTTCTTGCAGCTAGGGGAAGGTGAGATGTGCATGCTCTCCATAATGCTTCAGCAGCAGTGCTTACCAAGGCTTCTGCTGCCTTTTAGAAATGCCCTCTCCATGGTTTTCAGGGGCAGGAGGAGGATTTTGTTAGCTGGGGTGTCTCATGGCTGGCCTGAGGAGATTCCCCTGCTGTGGGGCACTGAGCTGTTGTGTTACTGCTGTCTGCTGCCAACCAGGGTTTGGTTGGTCACTGGGCTGAGAGGCCCAAAGGGCTCACATGAAAATTACTTAATTAAAAAAAAAAAAATCCACCCCGATTTATTGAGCTTAGGTTGTGTAAGATGATGCAGAATAGGCAGCCCCTGCTCTGAGCATGCTGGGAAGATGGACTGAGGGGACCATTTCCCAGGGACATGCTGGGAGCACACGGAGCACGTCGCTCCCTGACCAGCCCCTCCTCCCTCCCCATGCACACAGGGCAGGGCAGTACCCCAGAAAAAGAGACCAAACCATTCCCTGGACATGGCTGCACAACAGTGTTGGTGCTGGGGGTGAGAGGCAGACACGGGCAGGAGGCCATGGGATGGGGAGAGAGATGGAGACACAGACTGAGAGAGAGAGAAGAGTGATGCAGAGCTGTGGGCAGGCGGGACACGAGGGCGGTCTCGCTGCCAGGGCTCGGGCACTTAGCCAGAGGCATTGATGTACAGCTGGCTCTTGAGGATGTAGTCAATGACAGGCTGGCAGAGGTAATCCACAACGTGTCCATCCCCGTGCTGCAGGGCCAGTCTGGGGGCGTGGGGAGAGAGAAAGGTGTCAGAGCCCACTTGGGTGGACAGGCTGGCTGGGGACACCCTGCTCTGTAGTGGGAGTAGCCCTGCTTCACTCACCTGCTTTTGGTGGAGCTGACAACTGACATGGGGTGGTTTGAGTCGTCCTTCACCACCAGGATGTTGTTCTGCAGGGGAAAGAGGAAGAGTGGAGGGATGGCTTGAAAGCAGATGTCTGCTGCTCCAGCCTCCCCACCTTTCTGTGCGGTGACCCATTGCTCATCCCATCCATCACCTGGGAGCACCTGGCCCTGAGAGGCTTTGTGTCCCATGACAAAAGTGTCCCCCTGGGTGAAGAGAGACTGAGTTCTCTCGCAGCCTTCCCTGGCCACAGGTGCACCCAGGGACTCACTTTGTACTTGCGGAGTATGGAGGAGTGGTTCATGATCCGCTCGGGGTCTGCTCCGTCCCGGGGCACCACCACGATCCCGAACTCCCCGACGATCACCTCCATCTGTGAGCAACACAAAGTGTGGAGAGCTCTACATCCACCCCACACCAAGCCTGCCGCTGTCTGCCAGCCCCACCCTGCCCCGTGAAAGCTGGACCACGGTCTGGAGGGAGATGGTGAGTGATTTGGAGGCTATGCCAACAGCCTTTGGCAGAAACATGGAATTATGCAGGAAAATGGTTGGCAGTAGATGAAATAAAAGGCTCAGGGTTAAATCCTATTAATAGACATTGAGGTCAGGCTTTGAGGAGAACTTGTGGCACAAGGAGGTGAGAGCAGAAGAGGTTGCCCAAGGTGAATGTGATCTCTGCCTCGCTGGAAGGGTTCATGAGCAGGATGGATGTGTTGGTCCTGACAGAGGTCTGGGAGGATTGTTCTTCCAAGCTTGTTTGGCCAAATTTGCTGCTGCATGAGGACTACTCCTAGTGCTCACACCTCTCTCAGATGAGACAAATCAGGCTCATCCAAAAGAGCTTTAGGTCAGTGAGTTCAGGCAGCAGGAGTCTGTGAGGAGGTGCTGCTGCAGAATGCATCTTCTGCCTGTGCTTTGATGTCATTTCTGCATCCTTTGTGCCAGGCTCAGGGTTTGGCTCGGCTTCTTTCAGTTTTTCCAGCCCTTCAAAGGAGGTGCCTGCTGCCTAAATGCTTTAAAAAGTTAAGGATTGAAGATGTGGTAACTGATTTTAGAAGGTTGAGAAGTTCAAGGAGGGAGGTTTGTTTTGACTGACTGATTTCAGGGAGGAGCTGGGGGTGCCCTCACAGCCAGCATGGCTCCAACCAGGAGCAGCTGATGGGTCAGCAGCCCAGCCCCTCTCCAGGGCTGGTGTTCTCCCATGAACATGGCTTCTTCCAGCAAGGACCAACAGTGAAAGATGTTGATTTGGCTCTAAATATGTTTAATTCCTAACAACTGGACTACTCCTGTAAATAGCTTATTTCCTACCTGCATACCTCACTCTGCTGGGATTGGCATCTGCTTGATACTGGCTCCTTCCAAGGGACAAGGAGTGGGAGCACAGCCTTTGGGATGGGCTTACCCTCCATCCCAGGTGACATCCCCTGCTTTAACAGGGTACAGGGCTTGGGACCAGGGCAGCCCTGTGGAAATGTGTAGGGGAGAGGACAGTCAGGGTTGGGATGGAGGGGGCAGTGGAGATGGTGGGCACAGCTCCTGTCACCCCAAGGGATCTGGTGGCTCCAGGAGCACTGGCTGTGGGAGGCAGAGGAGGAGGAGCGTGGAGGGGTGCCCAGCAGTGGTGACTCACATCTGCCTCGTTCCAGAGGCCAGGGATGCAGAAGGACTCCAGCAGGTCGCTGCCACAGAGCAGCAAGATGCGAAGCTCTGGAAAAGAGAGGAGAGAAGCCCAGAGGTGGGAGCACAGGGGGCTGAGAAGGAACCCCCTCTCCCCCAACAACTTAGAGGGCTGGCTTTGCAGCTCAGCAAGAAAATTGTGCTGTGGGAATTTTCTGCTCTGAAAGGCCCATAAAGATTAATTTATTTGCACAACTGCCCAATAAAAGCCATAAAACCACCCCAGAGGAGTGAGAAGATGTGGCTACATGGGAAAATGCCTCCTTGTTTGGCATTCCCAGGTGGCCAAAGCCTTTAGGCATGGTGCTAGTGCCAGGATGGCTGTAGTCCCAGGCTGTGTGTGAAAAGGGTCTCAAAACCACCAGCCAACTCCCCATGCAGAGCTCTGGGTGATGTCTGGTGGGGCTAAAACCCCTAAAAGTCTTTAGAGCAAGGGGAACTCTGGCTGGTCAGGCACCAAAAGCTCTTCTGCTGCTGTGTGAGGCTCTGCAGGGCTGCAGGCAGTGTGGACATGACGTGGCACCACCATGGGAGGCCAAGTTTGATGGCACTTGAGGGGACTCTCAGGAGAGGGTGCCATGGCAGGTCTGTGCCAGTGCTGGGAGCTGTGTCCCCACTGCACTCCCTTATTTCAGGCTGTTGTCTGTCAGCGGGTCTAGGCTCAGCCCAGTTAGAGTTGTTTCTGTTGCATTCCTGAGCCCCAGTAGCTGGCACCAAGGTGAGATGGTCCTGTGTGTGCCAGAGCTGTCATGCAGATGCTCCCAAGCCCACCCAGAGGAGTGGGAGCGATGTGGAGAGGGGCTGTGCACTCACCAATCTCCTCATATCTCATCACTGTCCCCAGGTTGGCGTTTTCATCTGAGAAAAGGCAGCAAAAGAGAGGTGCTGGTGCCCAGCCTCGAAGAGGGGCGGGGAGGAAGGGTGGGGAGTGGGTCTCTGGAGGTGATGCTGGACCTTTCTCTACGTACCCACAAAGGTGAAGCGCTCCATGGGCGGGCGAACACAGCAAATCCTGCTCAGGCTCTCTCCCACCTTCCCCAAGATCTTTGCTAAAGGGGAAGAAGGGAAATTCATGGGAGAGAGGCTGTGCAATCAACCTGTCCACGTGCTTCAGCCACCCTGGTTCTGCAAAATGCCCCTGTGCCTGGGTGTGCAACTACTCCCAGCATCTCCCAACAGCTCCTCTCATGGTCCTAACTCCCAAGAGTGCTCCACTGTGCCTTGAAGGGACCAGCTAGACAGCTAAAATCATGAAGAAAATCATAAGATGTCTATTTTAATGGGATTTAAGTAATGTTCCCTCTTCTCAGCTAACACCTTTATGGTGTGCATCCCTCTGTCTCGTCCCACAAGAGAAGGACTTGTCCTACAGTGAATCCCACTACATTATCTCTCCTGCCAGCATCCCTTGGTACCAGGCAGCCTTTCCTTTTGTTGCTCTCACTGCCTAGACACCATCCAGCTGAAGTCCAAGGAGATTTCACAGCTATTTTAAGCTGTTCTTGTCTTCTGCCCTTGCTGTGCTGGATGCTGACTCCTGCATCACACCCCTGCCCCACCCTGGACTTGCTGCATCAAGACTGATGAGACAGCTGTCCAAAAACAAGGTGATGGAGCACTGGTCTAATGTTTGGCAGCCCTGGCTGGAGGTGGGGGTAAGCAGGCATGCCTCTGTTCCCTCCCCCAGGGCCACCTACCCGCGGTGGGCTTGCTGGAGACGTTGTTGTTGTTCTGGTAGATGCTCTGGGAGGACTCGTTCTGGGGCTGGCCGATCACAGGGGTGATGGAGGGTGTGTTGACATTGGAGAGGATGCAGCCAGTCACTCTCTGCAATCAGGGAAGGATGGAGCTGTGTCACTGTGATATTGTATGAAAATCTTTTGCTAGGATTTTTCTCTCATTCTAGCTGAGAAGCCTCAGAAAAGAAATGTAAACAATAACTGTCTGATGGCTGTGGAATGTGGTCTGGACATTATTTACCAACAGATGCATCTTTGATTGGTCCATGAGAGTTGTTTCTACTTAATGACCAACCATGGTCCAGCTGTGTGGACTCTCTGAGAGTCACAGGTTTTTGTTATTCATTCCATTCCTTTCCTTTTTACCTTTCTGATGGATCCTTTCTCTCTATTCTTTTTAGTACAGCATTTTAATATAATATCATAACAAATCAGCCTTCTGAAACATAGAGTTAAGATTCTCATCTCTTCCCTCGTCCTGGGACTCGTGAACACAACCACATAGCTGGAACAGTGTCTTCACCCCAGCACCCTTGCAAAACCTTTCTGACCCTGTAACAAGCCTCTGCACCCCTGGTTCAAAGTTACCTTTTGTGACAGGTACATCCCAGCTCACTTTAGGGTCTCTAGTCCCATCTGACCTCACCAAATGGGCCTGGGGCTATCAAGACCCTGTGGATAATAACTTGTGTTTAAGGTGGTAGCAACTTTTTTTGTGTGGGCTAGCAAGGAGCATACATGTCCTCTTCTCCTCCACCCACCCCTGCAGGAACAGGAAGGTATCACCAGCAACTGCCTGGCTTCAGCACCACAGTCCCTGGATGCACTGGACATCCTGCTGGGCTGGCTAATGCTACTCCTGTGCCTCCTGTTGGGCTGTCCATGAGTTTGTACAATGCTCTTTCACCCATTCCCTGTCTTTGTTTTTCTTCCTATATCTGAGTGTACCAGCAGCTCTGCTGCCCCTGTCACCCAAGGGCAGCCACCTTCCTCCTTGGCTTTCAGGACTGCCTGGAACTTTTCCTCCTGGGACAATGCTCCAGATGCTGAATTTTCCTGTCAAATCTCTCTGTCGGGTTCACACAGTAGTTCTGGCTCAGCTGGTGAGCGGGGAGTCCCTCCCTCAGGGAGGAGGAAGCAGGGTGTCACTAATGATGTGGCTTATGCCCAGCCCTGCTCTGAGGCTCCTTAAGCCCTGCTGCCCTCCTGGTGTTGCTGGGTCCAAGCTGGCTGCCTCACCTTCATCAGGTCGCGGTGGTGCTCCAGCACGCTGCAGGTGGTCTGCCAGGTGTCCTGGTAGCACTCCCAGGGGTCCACCCTGCCAGGAGCACAGCAAGGCAACAGTGTCACTCACGGCCACTGCCTGGATGTCCTGCCCATGCCACCTCCTCCCCACTGGGCTGGCCAGCAGTGCCATGAGCAGCCATCATCAGTCCCTAGCCCTGGCATGGACATGTCCTCCCTCCAGCCCTTCTGCACAGTGACCCCTAACAGCTCTGGGGACCTGAACGTGTGCCTGGTCATCTTCCCATGCTTGGTACCCAATAACCAGCTTTTTTTTTTACTTGATGTGACTCTGTGTGTCATAACCCTCTTTCTGAGGGGAGCCCAAGATGCCTCTGGTGTCACTTCAAGCACCAGATGCCACATGGCAGTGCTGGGAAGGTGAAAGTCTGCGGGCTGGTGCTACATGTGTGGACAGGGCAGGTGCCACAGCACAAGGCTGGAGTGAGCCGAGTGACTTTGGGTATCACCCAGACACCACAGGCTCAGTGAGGGGCTTGAATGACCCCCCAAATCCTGAGGGCTCCCCTGAAGGGCAGTCTAACCCCCCCATCTGTTCTCTGCTGCACTGGGAGCGGAAGGTCTCTGATTTTCAGTCAAGCTCGGGCTGGGAGAAAATTCATCCTGGAGCTCTACCAGCTGGTGGCATCTCCACTTTGCATGCAGGACTTTGCCCCCACGGGGCAGGGAAGGGGCAGGGGCTGCAGGAGCCATGGCAGGAGCCAGCTGTGCATCAGCCACCCACCTGATCCAGTCGGAGGACTGCACGGCCAGCTGGCACATGGTCAAGCGGTGCCGGCTGGAGACCAGCCCCTGCACGAGAGGGGGAAGGAAGAACACTTATGAAGCCTTATGCTCTGGCCAGCCTGGGCTTGCAAACCCTCCTGGGGCAGAACATCAGGCTCACTGATGTGAGGCAGGCCAGAAGGATTCCTTCCTGCCCACAGGAGTTTGGTTAAGCTCCTGTTTGCTGTCAGGGAGGAGTCTCTGCTGGGCTCAGCCCTGGCTACGTGCTTGGCTGGTGAGACTGGCTCAGCAGCACCACTCCCAGACCTGTGCTCCAAGGGGGCCAACTCAGGGGGTGGTTTCTTGATGAAATTCCTCCTGCTTTCAGGAGACAAGTGAGCTCACCACTCCTAATTTGACAAGTGCTTCTAAAGGTCACTCATGTGCATAATTTTGATATTCCCGCACCCAACCCCCAAAAAACCCCCCAAATTGCTTTGAAATAATTCAAACTAAAAAAAACCCACTTAAAGCATCACCACCACTACTGTTTTGGGTGGGAATGTTTCTCTTTGCTGTCTAGTGCTTTGGCTCATTTTAGGGTCTCACTGCAGTTTTTATCTAAGCAGTAAAATGTTTCATCCTCTCCCTTCTCTCCGAGACTTTCCCAAGGCCAGGAGCTGCCCCAGGCAGAAGAGGGCCATGAAGGGACACAGGTGAGGCAGTGCTGCCCAGTGCTGAGCCCTGGTTTGGGTGACAGCACCCCAGAGGGGAGGCAGGAGGCGATGGGGACGCACCGTTTTCCCGTAGGAGTCGTGCACGGGCGAGACGATGCCGCCGATGACAATGAAGCGTCCGGTCTTGTGCAGGTAGTCCCGGGCTCGCTCTGGAGGGGACACAAGGAGAAGGGTGGAGGGGGTTTAGCAGGAGCCACTGAGCCCTGCACACCGTGGCAGCCCCCAGCCGTGGCCCAGCCAGGCCCTGCACAGCCCGTCCCTGGCCTGTGCCAGCACCGTGTCCCAGCCATGCTGAGAGATGTTCAGGTAAGATAAGGCAGATAAGATTGATGAGACACGAGAAAGTTAATTTTTTTTCTTCAAGATCTACAAAATATTTTGCATTTGCAAATAAAAGGAGCATTTCTGAAGTGGAGGTGGTGATTTCAGGATGCATCAGCCATCCCAAGATGTCACTGTGCATCACATCCTTCAGACACTGAACTCAGTGTCTGGCACTGCCCTGGGGGATGGTGAGAGGTCCTTCCTGAAGGGAGGGTGTTCCCAAGGGAACAGTGGCTGCCACATCCCTGGAAATGTCCAAGGCCAAGCTAGATGGGGCTTGAAGCAACCTGGGTTAGTGGAACGTGTCCCTGCCCATGGCAGGGGCTGAAACAGGATGAGCTTTAAGGTCCCTTTCAACCCAAACCATTCTAGGATTCTAAGCCCCTTGGGCAAAATTCTTTTCCTCCAAATTTTGAAATTTCTGCTAGGGAATATAATTCAGCTACTGTCAGTTAAAATAAATTAAGGAACTATAATTGCCATGGACTTTTTCCCCCACCCTTGAGGGCATTGAGCAGCCTCAGGCCTCTGTGACAGCCTGTGGGAAATTTGCCAGCCTTAATATAGCCTCTTCTCAGACTCACCTGAAATCCTCACTCTGGCTGCCTTCCCAGCTCTTGTGCCTTGGACACACCAGCCTCCAGAGAGGGAAAAGTGGGCTTAAATCATTTGATTGGTGCAGGGAGTAAAATTTGATTGCCTGAATTGGATGCACCAAAATTATCCTTCCTGCCCTCAAAATCCCATGAGAGCACATGCAGCAAAACACAGTATGCTTGGGTTTGGTTTTTTTGCACAGGTAGGGAGAAGCAAAGATTGATGGATCAGCATTTCCCTTTTTATCACAATGCAAATTAAAATGCAAATTAAAATGCAAATTAAAAGAAAAAGGAAATTCCCTAACAAAAAAGATACCATTGAATTTTAAATGAACACATCCTTTCATTATTTCCTGATTTGCCCTGACTTGATTTTCCCTGCCAAAGGAAGATTAAAAACACTGATCTGTCCCTCTTCACTATGACCCCTTTATAAAGTTCATCTTTCAGAGGAGCTGAACTCTTTGCATGCAAACTCTGCTTCAAGCTCTCAAGGGTAGCTGTTGTTATTAATTTGCCTTGAGTTCTTTGTGGCAAAAGCCAAAGGTTTTTCTGGCTACCAATATGGCAAGGTCTGTATTAAAGAGCCTGGCAATGCTGTTTAATCTTCAGGCAATGTGACCAGTGCTGCTGGCATGTCATCTCAGCTGCAGCTTCCAGCTCACACCAAATATCCACCACCACCTTCTGCCCTAACAGAGCATTTCTTGTGCAGAAAACAGGCACTGACACGGGATGCCCAGAGGAGTTTTGGATATCTCATCCTTGGAAGTGTCTGAGGCCAGGTGGGCAGGGGTTTGGAGCACTCTGCCCTAGTGAAAGGTGTCACTGCCCATGGCACTGATCTGAGGGTTGCTGGTGGCCTTGCAGCACTCAGGGAGGGCTCTGCTGCTGGCAGGAGAGGGGTGCTGCTGCTCTGTATTGCCATCAAAACTGCTCATTGGGGTTTTAACCTGCACAATCTGTAAAAATGAGGCTGCTTTCAAGCTGGGATCTGCATTCCCAAGAGCTTGTTGTCTACCTCAGAAACACCACTTATAATTTAAATATGCTTGGGAAAAGGAACATGTTTATTGACAATTAAATCCCTGCAAGGGAAGTATTTGGGCAAATGTGGGCCAAGAAGCAGAAGTACAGTGTAGGGAATGGGAAGACCTGCCTTCTGGCTCTGGCTTGCCCACAACTTGCAGAGCACCCTTTCACATCCCAAACTGGCCTGCTCTCACTGGTTTTGGGGCAGAGCACATTGTTTGCTTGCAGGGCTGCGTCTGTCACGAAACTCTGCAGCTTCACTTGCTCATACAACCATCAGCTAGGGCAGTCCTCACAGCCATCCACTTTGAAACAAAAGCCTTGGAAAAGATTGCATTCTCTTAAATAACACCTCAAATCCTGTTTGGAGAGCAGCTGTGTCACTGGTGGGGCTGGCATGGTGGCAGGAGCAGCTGTCCTCACTGCTGGGATGGTGGCAGAGGATCTGGGGCAGGAGGCAGCGTGGCTTCAGGGTGGCACAAGAAAGACTCTGAGGTGCTGGAGCAGGTCCAGAGAAGGGAACAGAGCTGGGAAAGGGAATCTGGGGCAGGAGGCAGCGTGGCCTCAAGGTGGCACAAGAAAGACTTTGAGGTGCTGGAGCAGGTCCAGAGAAAGGAACAGAGCTGGGAAAGGGTCTGGAGCACCAGGAGTGGCTGAGGGAGCTGGGTGGGGGCTCAGCCTGGAGAAAAGGAGGCTCAAGGGGGATGTTCTGGCTCTCTGCAATTCCCCGGTGGTGGAGACAGGTGGGAGTCAGGCTCTGCTCCCAGGGAACAAGGGACAGGACAAGAGGAAATGGGTTTAGATGGGATATTGGGAAAAATTTCTCCATGTAAATGGTTGTCAAGCCCTGGCACAGCTGTGCAGGGCAGTGGTGGAGTCCCCACCCCTGGAGGGATTTAAAAGCCATGTGGAGGTGGCACCTGGGGACGTGGGTTAGTGGTGGCCTTGGCAGTGCTGGGTTAAGAGCTGTACTCAATGTAAAGGGTATTTTCCAGCCTAGATGATCCCTGATTTTGTGATTCTAAAATTGCAGTGTTAGTTTGCAGCATCTACACGTGTCCTCTCTGCAATCATGCTGCTGTGTTTAAAGCTTATTTTTATTTTTTTACAGTTTGAATCTCCTCAGACTGATGCGCCCTTCAGTGGCTAAATGGAGAGGACAAAAGGCAGTCATAGCTAAGCCTGTCCTGACGTGTTAGTTATCAGGCCTTGATCCTGCCCTCTGCACAAGGCCAGACAAAACTGCTTTAGCTCTTGTAAGAGACCCCGGGGATGCTGGTGGCTCATGGCCCACCTGGGCTGAGGGGCAGTGCCTCCTGCCATGGTGTGTGCCCCAAGCTGGGGGAGTGGATCCCAGCAGCAATCATTCCTCTGGGTCTCTGGAGACAGAACACTGGATTTCATTGCTTCAAATGCTGTGGCTGCTTTGACTTTGCAGTGCTTGCTCCAAGCCCTCAAGTCCATGTTCTCAGAAAAGACCTTTTTCTTTCACAGAATTTGTTATGCCTTTCTTGCAAAATATGCTGCTCGTGGGGGTCAGGCTCATCTCCTTGTAGACATGGCTAGTGCCAAAGACACTGCAGCAGCTTTGTATTCCTGCTCTCAGGTGTATTCCTTGTGGTCAGCTGTCTGCAGCTCCCAGCCTTCCTTCCCTTCTTGTGCAAAGATTTTTGCCTGGGGAAAAGTAGATTGTGGCCTGAAAAGTCCCAAGTCTTTGGGATCTTAGTTCCACCCCTCTGACAATGAGTTGGGTATCTGGCCCATTTGTTGTCCTCGAGCTCAGCCCTCTGCCACAGCTTCCCATCCCTTTCCCAGCCCATTTCTTGCCTGTTGAATACCTGTGATGTGCAGAGATTACACCAGACCACAGAAAACCCCTCCAGTACTTTCATTTCCTACGAGCACTTTGTATCCTGCCACACCAGTGCAGGGATGTCAGCTCATTCCTTTTCTGGAGTAAATAGTCCACGATGCTCCAGGCAGCCTGGATGGCTTTTAGACAGTGTTGACATAAATAAACTCGGGGTGATGGCTCTGCCAAGACATGCATTAGCCCCCTGGCAGCCTACTTGTGGCATGGGAAGCTTTCAGCCATGGCTCTGTGCCTGGCAGCTGCTGGGTGACCACAGCCTGGCTGTGCTGGGGAGGGAAGGGACAGGGGCGACACTTGGACCCATCCCACATGGACCCAGCCCAGCTTTGCCTGCCCTGCAAGTGCACTTCAGGTATTTTCATCTCTGCTGCTTTCCTGAGAGATGGTGATAGGGAAAGCCCAGTCAGAGGATATGCTCCAGGGCTACAAAACTGATAAGTGATGGTTTTGTCCAGTTTGAATGAAAAAATAGCATCCTATTTCCCCAATAGGAAATCAGTCCTTATTTAAGAGATGTTTCTTTTTGGAGGTGCTCCCTGAGAATATTTAATCACAATGTTTGGGCTCCTCTGGCAGGGCTCCATCACCTAAATTGACGTTACTGAAATCAAATATTCCTCATGCTCAATTTTTCAAGGTGTAATTTCAAATTGTATTTGCTTTGCCTTTGCACCTGGTTCTGCACCCCTAAGACTTCCTTTTTTCTATTTTTGTTTTTCTTACAACAAGTAAGTAAAGCCACAGGCCAGCTCTGATTTATGCCCTTCCCCCCAGAGAGGATTGAAGCTGCAGCTTGCTCACACTGTGCCAGCTCTCTGAAAACACACACAAAGTAGCAGGGAGGCAAGAAAGCTCTGCACAGCCTTCACTGCACAGCCCTGAGAGCTGGGACAGAGAAGCTGCACAGCCACAGGTGATGGAGAAGGCAAAACCATTTCCCAAGTGTCTCGTTTTTATTTTCAGCAATTTGGCTTCTGACATCCTTGAACAGGAGGTGGGACATGGCCATTAAAATCCCTTCTTCTGCAGGAGAGAGTGACCCAGATATGCCAGCACACTTTGTTTTATTCTCAAGCTAGCAGCACTTGCAGGACCTAAATGGTGCTTCCAGAGCTCAGTGCGGGCAAGGAGCCAGCAGTTACTCTCAGTCTAATTGAATGATGTGTATGTATATACATATATATATAGATATTTAAAAAGAAAGCTCCTTCTGAATGCCAAATCAGGGATGTATTCAGCAGAGGTGTCCTTCTCCCAGAGCCCAGCTCTCCTGCCTACCCCAGAGCCTTGTCCTGGGTCCCAACAGTGTCCTCACCCACTG